TCAGTCTTGTTTGTTTTTTTCAGTTCTCTCCCTTCTCATTTCCTCTCATCCATTTATGTCACTTAACAGAATATTTTTTTTTCCCCCTCTTGGTCATATTCATTTAGAATGCTGCTCTTGTTTTTTCAAAAACCCTTCTCCCTTCCACTATCACTTGTTCCCTGGAAAATAACATTTCTATTTCACCAACCTATAGATTTCTTCTTTTATATGAACCTATATCAGCTTAGATAACACTAATTCTTATTCTCTGAGATGAATTATTCTCTTATTCTCTGTCATTCATAACTAACCCACACCTCCATTTTCCTTTATGTATTCACTAACTCCATTGCACAAGATGAAACGATCTTCATTCTCATCCCTTACATTCTTTCCCTTTCTTTTAATTTCACAGACAGAACATTTCTATTGATGTCAGATGACCCCCGTTTTATCCCAAACATTCTCATGCTATTCCAGTGTTGGTGAATTTTTTTGGGCACTGAGTGCTGAAACGGGACCACGCGTGCTTGCGGGGGAGCACTGGAAACCGGAAGAGCAGTTCCCAGCTGAGCTTCCGGTTTTCGGCGTGCGCATGTGCACCAGTCACCTGGTCTTCCGGTTTCTGGTGCACATGCGTGCACGAAGATTAGCTGGCCAGTGCCCATGAATGCGCTGGAAACCAAAAGCTCAGCTTCCCAGGGCGCGCATACACGCCAGGGATTTGCTCTTTCAGTTTCCGGTGCTCGCACAGGTTATAAAACTCAGGCATTCTCAGCATCTCTTCCCTTTTTTCTCCTTCACCCAACATCATCAAGGCATGTGATCCTGTCCACCATTAAAAACCATCTTTCCAAGTGGTCTCCATGTTTCCAGTGTCTTTTTCCCTACTTGGAACTGAACCCAGATGGACATTTCTTCCAAAAACCCCTACTACCAAAAAGACTTTAGAGAATATGTGGGAAAGATTCAGTCTGAGGGAAACCTAAGCAGCTTGTCATGACCAGAATGTCTGAATTAATTTGTGGGACCTGCAGCATGTTCCACAGAAGATATATAAACCCATCATTAAATATGCTGGGATTTAGATTTAGCATTCCTTATCCTTTTTGTTCAATTTTGGCTTGCAATTACTTTAAATTATGTAAAGTAGAACAATTTAAGTGTTACCTGGAATTGCTTCTATAAAGACACAACAGATATACCTGATGATTGATTAATGAGGACTATAAGTTATAACCAATGCAATCCTAGGTTTCATTAACCAAGGGATAGAATCAAGATCACATGAAGTACTAGTACCAATATATTTATTTATTTACTTCTATTTATTTATTTATTTATTTATTTATTTATTTATTTATTTGTCAAAAAGTATAAGGAAACAAGTAACAGTATAGACATAGACATGGACATATGAAAAAAAAATTGGCACAAATAAAAGGATATAAATAGGCAAAACATAGCCATAAACACATAGAATGATTACATATAAATGAAGACAGTAGAACAGGGATGGTAGGCACGCTGGTGCGCTTATGCACCCGTCCTTAGGGATCTCTTAAGAAACATGAAAGGTCCATGGTAGACAGTTTAAGGTAAAAGGTATGGGGATTAGAGAGACTGACAACAGGACCAGGTAGAGTGTTCCTGTTCTGCCCCAGCTATGGACCCCAAAGAACGCAGCATACACAAAGTCTGTACAAACCTTAGTTTACTAAATTAAATCAGTCTTTTTCAAACAAAGGCTGTTAATTAACTTTCTTAACAGCCTACAAGACTCCAAAGAATAAATAATCGTAATCTTACTAGGATTGGCAGAAAGCCCAGAAGCAATTTGCAGGTAACTGATAAAAAAACTAAGATCAAGACACGAAGGAGAGTGAACGAAGTTGTTTCCTACAAATTGCCTCAGTTGTCATCCATCCTTAAATAGGCTAAGGGAGTGGCCAATTAGCCCCAAGCCTTACTCTTGAGGAGACCTCCTCCTGAGGAGCCACTCCTGCCTTTTGGCAGCTCTGTGCGCCCGTGCATCGAGAAGAGGCTCCTCCTCTTCTTCCTCTTCACTTATGGAAGCTTCTGGAGGTTCTGAAGGCCCTGGCTGAATCCCTGCCTCTGGCACCACATCTTCTCCAGCCTCCTCATTGTCTGATTCGAGTGCCAGCTGCACAGGCTGCTGGCGCAGCACCACACCAGCCTCCTCGCTGTTGGAATCAGCTACTAGCTGCACAGGCCGCTGATGGGCCACAACAGTTCCAGACATTTACTACTCTATTGCAGAAGTCATATTTTCTACAATCAAGATTAGAGCGATTTACATTGAGTTTGAATCTATTGAATCTATTATATAAAGCCTTAGAAGGCCACACTTAGAATATTGCATCCAGTTTTGGTCACCATATTATTAAAAAGATGTTGAATGGCTGGAAAAGAGCAACAAAGGTGATTAGAGGCCCGGAGGCTAAAACATAGGAAGAACGGTTACAGGAATTAGGTGTGTCCAGTCTAATGAAAAGAAGGACTAGGGGAGACATGAGACATGATAGCAGCATTCCAATGTTTAAGGGGCTGCCACACAGAAGAGGGTAGTCAACTTATTTTCCAAAGCACCAGAAGGTAAGACAAGAAAAAAATGGATGGGAACAGTGGTGGGTTCCTCCCGGTTTGGTCTGGTTCGGCCGAGCCGGTAGCGGTGACGATATGACGTCACCGAACCGATTCTCCCCCCCCCCCCCCCCCCCCCCCCCCCCCCCCCACGTTATTCTTACCTTTTATTTGATCCCACCCCCAAACTATTGCTGCCTCTTGAGTCCCAGCTGATGACTAGAGGGAAAAAAACTGTTTAAACTCTTGCCGCGGGGCTTCAAAGGGCCGTCCTACAGCTGATCAGTGTTAAAAGCAAACAAATGAGTTGGGTCGTAAGTGCGAGGACTGATCGTAAGTGCGAGGACCTTCCAGAAATGACTCTGACCAGCTAGCCACGCCCACCTAGTCACATGACCTCCAAGCCACACCCACAAAATAAGCCACGCCCACAGAACCGGTAGTAAAAAAAATTAGAACCCACCCCTGGATGGGAACTAATCAGAGAGAAGCAACCTAGAACTAAGGAGAAATTTCCTAACAGTGAGAACAATGAACCAGTGGAATGGCACACTTTCAGAGGTTGTGGGTGGAGGCTTTCAAGAAGAAACTCATCAGAAATGGTGTAGGGCAGTGATGGCAAATCATTTCGGCACTGAGTGCCTAAACTGGAGTGCTGGAAACCCGAAGACCAGCTGGTCGGTGCACATACGCACGCCGTCCACCTGGTCTTTGGGTTTCCAGCACACATGTGCACCAGCCAGCTGGTCTTTGGGTTTCCGGTGCCCTGGTGCATGTGAAGACCAGCCGGCCAGCATGCATGCACACGCTGGAAACCCAAAGACCAGGTGGTGGCGGCATGCATGCCCACAGAGAGGGCTCTGTGTGCCACTTCTGGCACACGTGCCATAGGTTCGCCATCATGGGTGTGGGGTCTCCCGCTTGAACAGGGGGTTGGACTAGAACAGTGGTCACCAACCGGTGGTCCGCGAACCACTGGTGGTCCGTGAGAAAATTTTGGTGGTCCGCGGCGCACCCAGGTGGAGAAGCTGCTCCAGGATGAGCAATAGCCAGTCCTGGGACTAGAGCTCTGGAATATGGGACTGGCCAGGCAGCTCATGGTGGGGCTGTAAATCTCCACAGTAGAGGGAAGTTCGTGCAACTTGCAACTTTGCAGTGCAGCCCTCGCCAGCTGGAATGAGGTAATGGTGCAATGGGGGGTGGCGGTGCAGGCGTGCCGAAGCAACAGGGGGTGGCAACCCCAGGCTGTTTCTTCCCCCTGCTGTAGCTTCCTGTCAGCTGAACCCATGAGTGCTGTCCCACCCCTCGCCCTTCCTTCCCATTCACTCCTCGCCTGGCAAGGTAAGGGTGGGGGATGGAGATTTGCTCCATATTCCAGAGTAGGAGTGAAGCTTTGTCTCTTGCTGGATCGCGCGGCCGTTTCTTCCGGCCCTTGTTGGTGCTCCGTGCCTCTCGGTTGACTTCCTCTCAGCCCCAAGACACTGGCTGTCCCATGAGATGAGAGAGAGAAAGAGAATCAGAGAGAAAATGAAAGAGAGAGAGAAAGAAAGAAAGAGACAGAGAGAGAATGAGAGAGAGAATGAAAGAGAGAGAATGAGAAACAGTGGGAGAGAGAGAAAGAGAAAGGGGGAGAGATGAGAGAGAGAAAGAGGGGGAAGAGAGATAAGACAAAGAAAGAGAGAGGGGGAGAGAGGGAGGGAGAAAGAGAGAGAGCAAGAGGGGGAGAGAGAAAGAGAGAATGAAAGAGAATGAGAGAGAGAAAGAAAAAGACAGAGAGAGAATCAGAGAGAGAATGAAAGAGATAGAGAGAGAATGAGAGAGAATGAGAGAGAGAGAGAATGAGAGAGAGAATGAGAGAGACAGAGAATGAGAGAGAGAAAGAGACAATGAAAGAGAGAAAGAAAAAGACAGAGAGGGAATCAGAGAGAGAATGAGTGGAGGAGAGAGAGAAAGAGAGGTGGGAGAGAGAGAGAGAATGAGAGAATGAGAGAGAAAGATTGGGAGAGAAAGAGGGAGAGAGAGAGAGAGAGAGAGAGAAAGAGAGAGAGAGAGAGGAGGGAGAATGCCTGAAGGACCCCATCCCATCACTGGGAGTCCAGGTGCTTCAGCAAGCAGCGCTCTGGATTCGTATTACTGGTCCACAGGATTTAAAATTATGAGCTTGGTGGTCCCTGAGGTCCAAAAGGTTGGGGACCCCTGGACTAGAAGACCTCCAACATCCCTTCCAACTGTTATTCTATTCTCTTCTGCCCTAGATTTGTTGCCCTAACAGTGCCATAAGCATCATTAGGAGAAGGAAAAAGACCGAAAGAGAGAGAAAAAAAGAAAACAAAAATTGAAATGAGGAGAAAGTTCTCCCCTCCCCTCCACCACCACCACACACAGACACACAATCTGAAACCATACTATGATGATTGCTGTTAAAAAATAACTCTTTATCTACCAGAGGTTCTTCTGGTTGACTATTTTGAATGACAAAAAACAAGATTGAAAGAGGTAAACTGAAGAATTTGAAGACTGCAGAAAGGCTAAAGATAAAGAGGGAAGTTAATTAAGTTAATTATGAATGGGCATTCAATTTAACATAATATAATGATCATCTTCCTGGGAATAGTTCCAGGTCTGCCTTTCTTCACCGGTGATTTACTGCATCGAGAGAAAAGCCCGGCAACCACAATTTTATTCGCCGTCCCCATGACTAGCCTTGTCTTGTCAAAAATCATGATTTATGCAGCCTTATCCCCCACTATTCTGTGCTGCAAAATTCCTGGGACCACAAATCAGGGCATTGTTATGTAGGTGGCTCTTTCTCTTCCCACCAGAGTGACTGGATTCTGCCAAGGACATCTAGTGAGGAAAAAAAAACCAAACAAACTTGTAAGATTACGAAGAAAAAAATATTTCCCAGAGAGGACTTTATACAAAATAGAATTGAACGAGTTTTGGTTTCATGGATTTCAACTGATTGAAATAGGAACAATGCAAAACAATGCAAACAAAGTCTTTCTCTACAGTCCATGTAGGGTAGCAGAAATATCACCACTTATCCCCTATATGAAAGGCTATTAGCTAGAACATCCACAAAACAAGGGAAGGATATCTCACTGGAACAAAGAGGTAATTTCTCCCTTATTTATATATTAGTTTATGTGATTACAGCAGCTATCTTAGTTGTACATTCCAATAAATAGAGTAGAACTTACTTACTTACTTACTAACTTTCTTTCTTTCTTTCTTTCTTTCTTTCTTTCTTTCTTTCTTTCTTTCTTTCTTTCTTCCTCCCTCCCTCTCTCCCTCCCTCCCCCTCCTCTCCTCCTCCCTCCCTCCCTCCCTCCCTCCCTCCTTCCTTCCTTCCTTCCTCCCTCCCTCCCTCCTCCTTCCTTCTTCCCTCCCTCCCTCCCTCCCTCCCTCTCCCTTCCTCTTCCTTCCTTCCTTCCTCCCCCCTCCCTCCCTCCCTCCCTCCTCTTTCTTTTCCCAAAATGTTTCCACAATTTTAGCCATTACTGTACTGATCTTTCTTACGTAACAATATAAGCGTCTCTCTCTCCCATTCCAATGTATTTCAGAAAGAATTGCATCTATATCAGGGGTGTCAAATTCGCATCATCATGGCGGCGTCACATGACATATCGGGACTTTTTTCCCCTTCCCTAAACTGGGTGTGGGTGTGGCCAGCATGTGACGCATCTAGCCCGCAGGCCATTTGAGTTTATAGCCCTGATCTATATACTTACTAAACGTCTTGTAATCTTGTAATCTTGTAATCTTGTAATCAGAGGGCAAAACATTCTCAACCAAGATACTTCAAATATATGCAAAATCTAGGATCCATGACTCCATAGAATTGAAATTTTGGCAAATTATATAACATATTTTATGGCAGAATTATCATAAATAAAAATAAATATGACATAATGCAATATGTCATAAAACATTTTCTATGGTTAATGCCTGATATTTGACTGTGCTTTACAGTTCAACATTGCTAGTTGCAAGATTGGGGCGTCTCTGAAAACCTCCCTGAATTTAAAGCTCTGCCATTGTTGAAGGCATTAAGGAATCTGTGGGGAGGGAATATCTCTGAAATGATGATTAAGGGGTCGTGGGTTGCCCAGTCTTCTACCCAGGGGTGATATTCAGCAGGTTCTGACAGGTTCTGGAGAACCAGTAGTAGAAATTTTGAGTAGTTCAGAGAACTGGCAAATGCCACTTCTGGCTGGCCCCAGAGTGGGGTGGGAATGGAGATTTTGCAGTATCCTGTCCTTGGAGTGGGGTGGGAATGGAGATTTTGCAGTATCCTGTCCTTGGAGTGGGGAGGGAATGGAGATTTTGCAGTATCCTGCCCCTGCCATGCCCACCAAGCCATGCCCACCAAGCCACGCCCACAGAACCGATAGTAAAAAAAAATGAATTCCATCACTGCTTCTACAAAATTATCTTCCAAATATGATGGATTACAACTCAACAAATTCTAGGCATGTCATACACAACGAGAAAGACTTCTGGCCTGATTTGGCAAGATCAGTTACCTTCATATTTATGCACAGCTTCACTCCATCATGAATAAAACGCTTGCCAATTTCAGCCCTAGCCTTTTCCAACATTTTTTTTTTCCATGCAATATGCACACCTATATTAAGGTGTACTTTTTTCTACTTACCTATCCAATGTGCACGAGCGCGCACGCACACACACTCACCCACATTATTAGCAATAGTTAATAGCACTTAGACTTATATACTGCTTCACAGTGCGGTACATGTAAACTTCTCTAAGTGGTTTACAGAGTTATATTCAGAGTATATTAATTATGTATGTTTTTTTTTGTTTTTTTTAAATTTGATTTATATGCCACCCTTCTCTGGAGACTCAGGGCGGCTTACAATGCGTTAAGCAATAGCCTTCATTCTTTTATATATTTTATACAAAGTCAGCTTATTGCCCCCACAAACTGGGTCCTCATTTCACCTACCTTAGAAAGGATGGAAGGCTGAGTCAACCTTGAGCCTTGGAGAGATTCGAACCAGCAGAAATTGCAGGCAGCTGTGTTAATGACAGGGTGCACTAAACCACTGTACTATCAAGGCTCTTGTGTTATTAAACACAATCGCTACATCCTCAATATAAGCTGGGTTTTACATAACAGGCTCAAATGGGCACCAGTTTTCCATACCCTCTAAATCAGGGGTGAAATCCAAATTTTTTTACTACCGGTTCTGTGGGCGTGGCTTGGTGGGCATGGCAGAGGAAGGATACTGCAAAATCTCCATTCCCACCTCACTCCAGGGGAAGGATACTGCAAAATCCCCATTCCCTCCCCACTCCTGGGGAAAGGATATTGCAAGATCTCCATTCCCACCCCACTCTGGGGCCAGCCAGAGGTGGCATTAGCCGGTTCTCTGAACAACTCAAAATTTCCACTACCGGTTCTCCACAACCTGTCAGAACCTGCTGGATTTCACCCCTGCTCTGAATGGAGAAGAGAAAGTTGCAGGTGCCATTCACAGCTACCTTCTCTGGTGCAGCAGAATCAGCTTGGGAGGGCGGTGAGCATTCAAGGAAACAGACATGCATGGCAGGTTTCTTTTCATTTCTAACTGGGTCAACCTGCTTTATTCACCTTGCTTGAGGCATCTGAAGCCATGGGACCTGTCATTTCAAGGTGTCTGACATTTGTTCAAACATCAGGCACCTTGAAATGATAAGACCTCAGGCTAGTGGTATCTGAGAAGCTACTAGAGCAGGGTCGAGGTGGCAACATTTCAAGGAGGGGAATTTCTAGTAAGATTTTCTTTCCATTGCTATTTAAGTGAAATAGGGACATTCAGGCAGGCTGAGAAGAAAGATTTCCCCTGTCTGATGTCTGAATCATATTCCAGGGAGATATCTATCTATCTATCTATCTATCTATCTATCTATCTATCTATCTATCTATCTATCTATCTATCTATCTATCTATCTACCTACCTACCTACCTACCTACCTACCTACCTACCTACCTACCTATCTATCTATCTATCTATCTATCTATCTATCTATCTATCTATTCACACACACATACATATACATACATACATATACATACATACATACATACAATTATTAATTTAGGCTTTTTTTGCTTGTTTCAAGCGCTCAAAGAGGCATATATGATATCCCATTGTCACATTTTTTGTTTTATTTGATTTATATGCTGCCCTTCTCCGGAGACTCAGGGCGGCTTACAATGCTTTTTAAGCAATAGCCTTCATACTTTTGTATATTTATACAAAGTCAGCTTATTGCCCCCACAAACTGGGTCCTCAATTTACCTACCTTAGAAAGGATGGAAGGCTGAGTCGACCTTGAGCCTGGGGAGATTCGAACTAGCAGTAATTGCAGGTAGCTGGATGATAATAACAGGCTATTAGTCTGCTGCACCACCAGGCTATCCCATAATAGCAATCTTGTGAATTAGGTTGGACTGGGGAAAAAAGGGACTGGGATGAGGTGGATTTGAACCCAGGTCTCCCTTTTCATCACTAATCCAAAATTCTCGAGTAGGTCAGGTAACAAGCATCCTCATTCTTTGATTCATTCATTCAAGTTCTATAGCTATCCATCTCAATCAATGACTCTGGGTGACTTACAGATCAAAAACATATACAACAATTAAAACAATAAAAACATTTTATAAAACAATAAAAACATACAAAATAAATATATGCAGTATTCTGGCCAGTTATCAGGAAAAGCCAAGACCCATACTCTTTATACTTTATATAAATGACCTTTGCGATAATATTATAAGCAATTGCATTCTCTTTGCAGATGGCGAAAACTATTCAACACCACTGACAATGCTGCTACTCTACAAAAAGACCTTGACTATGTGTCAGATGTGTCCAAATCTCAACCAATAAATGCTCTGTCTTACACATTGGCAAAAAAAGTCAGAACACAAAATACAAGCTGGACGGATACGAGCTAACAGACAAACCTCACTCTGTCAAAGACCTTGGAGTACTCATCTCAAATGATCTAAGTGCCAGAGCTCAGTGTAACAGCATTGCTAAAAAAGCATTAAGAGTTGTTAACCTAATCTTGCGTAGTTTCTTCTCCGGTAATATTGAACTGCACACTAGGGCATACAAAAGTTTTGCCAGACCAATTCTTGAATACAGCTCATCTGTCTAGAACCCACACTGCATATCGGACATTAATACAATTGAACGAGTCCAGAAGTATTTCACAAGAAGAGTCCTCCACTCCTCTGCTCGCAACAAAATACCTAAGGCTTGAAATTTTGGGCTTAGACAACTTAGAACTTCACCGTCTTCGGTCTGATCTAAGCATAGTACATAAAATCATCTGCTACAATGTCCTACCAGCCAATGAATACTTCAGCTTTAACCAAAACAATACAAGAGCACACAATAGATACAAACTCATGGTAAACCGATCCAAACTAGACTGCAGAAAATACGACTTCAGTAACAGAGTTGTCAAGGCTTGGAATGCACTACCTGACTCTGTGCTTTCTTCCCCAAACCCCCAAAACTTTAACCTTAGATTGTCTACTGTAGACCTCACCCCATTCCTAAGAGGTCTGTAAGGAGCATGCATAAGTGCACCAGGGTTCCTACCATCCCTGTCCTAATGTTTTCTTTTATTCATATCCTTTACATGTATTTATAATTATGTTTACACTTGTATCTCTCATAAAATACATGCTTGACTAAACAATTAATTAATTAATTAATTAATTAATTAAATAAATAAATAAAATAAATAAATAACTAAATAACTAAAAGAACCCTTACCACATTCAGCACCTCAGGCTCAGGAACACAACCAGGTTTTTAGGG